ACTGTCTTTGCCATCTCGAATGTGCTCCGGGGGCACCCTCCTGTTTCGATTTTGGAGGGAGTGAGGGAGGGAGTGTGCAATTTCTCTTTCCTTTTTGTTCTCTTTGTTTTTGTTGGGCCACTTCCTGTTGCATCTTTTATTTAAATGAAGTCCACGTCAGCCTGTTGTCCACGTCAGCCTGTTCCGTTAAAACAAGAAATTCCGTTACATTTTCCGTTTCATAGGCATTTTTTATATATAGAAAGATATATCTGAATTTTTTTCACTGTCATATATATCTGAATTTCTCCTAATTTTTAGCCATTTCTTTTTTGGGAGTTGGAACAATCGAACCTGTGAATTTGTGGTTAGATTTGGGGATTTTAAGGTCAGATTTGCTCTTGAGGTCCTCTAACTTTTATGTCCAAGTGTATTTGGTGCTTTATGTTTGAATTAATACAAAACAGACATAAAACTAAGTTGAGTGACCATTTCTGAAACCGCCTAAAAATTGAGTGACCATTTCTGCAACATTTGAAATTCAGTGACCGTTTTGTAATTTTCAGGTAAATTTAGTGATCATTTGTGAAATTAACCCTCTAGGATATAAGATGTGTAATAAGGTGTATGTGAAATCTAACACTCACGTTGAACTTCAATTGCAATTTTCTTTAAATAGGCTAGTGGTCTTTTAGACGCACTTTTATTAAAAGTTTTAAAACAAAATGCTAAAATTAGAAAGTTAGTCGCGCACGAGTCAGGCTTAGAGAGCGTGAAACTCATCTACCTCGTAGGGGCGATGAGATCAAAGCACAAAAGCAGCAAAATTTAAAACTTGTAAAGCCCTTTCTACTCATTTCTCGAGCTCTGAAGAAAACGTCAAATCAAAAAGCTACGTTGAGACTATTTTCATTATTTTCAAAATTCATTTTTCTTTCTCTTCTTTTCAACCACGTATTTTTCAATGAAATAATATTACACGTAAACTCAAATTTTTTTCCTTGTTTTTTAACCACACATTCTCGAATAATACTATTAATCACCCGATAATAAATTATCGGTAATGTGCAGTTTATTTGGAATAATGAAATTGTACAGTTCAATTTATATGATAGAAGGAGAGAGAAAATATAGAAATATGAGAGAATGAATTGTTGCATTGATAATTTATTTTCATGATGATAAATAAGTAAGACAATCAGGCTCAGAGGCACTCAACTTTAGTTATATGATAAAAAAAACACTAGGTGAATTTAATTTGACAAAAAAAAATCTTGTAACGTTTGAAGAAACATTGTAAATCACAACGCATTCAATCCCTCTCTCGAACTCTTACAATCCCAGAGAAAATCAGAAAACAGCTACGGAAAATCATGGGTTCAATGGTAATAACGGTGGCGCAGGACGGAAGTGCCGATTTCGCGACGGTGCAGGAAGCAATCGACGCCGTGCCGCTGGGCAACAAATGCCGGACGGTTATTCGATTGACGCCGGGTGTTTACAAGCAGCCGGTGTACGTGCCTAAGACCAAGAACTTCATAACCCTCGCCGGGTTGCGCCCGGAGGAGACAGTGTAGTGTAAGTGTGAAAGTTGAATTAAAGGCAGGATCACATGCCACGTGTAATTATGTGAACCATTATGTGAATGGTTATATACCTATAACATTACACTTTCTTTAAATAGGCTAGTGGTCTTTTAGACTCACTTTTATTAAAAGTTTTAGAACAAAAGTGCTAAAACTAGAAAGTTAGTCGCGTACAAGTCAGGCTTAGAGCGCGTGAAACTCATCTACCTCGTAGGGGCAATGAGATCAAAGCACAAAAGCAGCTAAATTTAAAACTTGTAAAGCCCTTTCTACTCATTTCTCGAGCTCTGAACAAAACGTCAAATCAAAAAGCTACGTTGAGCCTATTCTCATTATTTTCAAAACGCATTTTTCCTTTTCTTTTTTTTCAATCACATATTTTTCAATGAAATGATATTACGTATAAACTCAAAATTTTTCCTTATTTTTTAACCACACATTCTCGAATAATACAACTTATCACCCGCTAATAAATTAGCGGTAATGTGCAGTTTATTTGGAATAATGAAATTGTGCATTTCAATTTATATGAGAGAGAGAAAATATAGAAATGTGAGAGAATGAATTGTTGCATCACCGACAATTTATTTTCATGATGAAAAATAACGTAAGACAATGAGGCTCGGAGGCACTCAACTTTAGTTATATGATAAAAAACACACTAGGTAACTATTAATTTGACAAAAAAAAATCTTGTAACGTTTGAAGAAACATTGCAAAATCACATCGCATTCAATCCCTCTCTCGAACACTTACAATCCCAGCGAAAATCAGAAAACAGCTACGGAAAATCATGGGTTCAATGGTAATAACGGTGGCGCAGGACGGAAGTGCCGATTTCGCGACGGTGCAGGAAGCAATCGACGCCGTGCCGCTGGGCAACAAATGCCGTACGGTTATTCGATTGACGCCGGGTGTTTACAAGCAGCCGGTGTACGTGCCTAAGACCAAGAACTTCATAACCCTCGCAGGGTTGCGCCCGGAGGAGACAGTGTTGACGTGGAACAACACCGCCACCCGAATCGACCACCACCAGGTTTTTCTTCTAGCTTTTTTTGAATTCAGGAAGTGAAAATTTTCTATTGGGCATCAATTTTTTCCTGTTTATGGCTTGTTGGTGTGAAGGCGTCCAGGATAATTGGGACTGGGACTTTTGGTTGTGGAAGTACGATTGTGGAAGGAGAGGATTTTATTGCTGAGAACATTACTTTCGAGAATTCAGCTCCCGAGGTTCAAATTTCTCTCCATTTTATAATTTTGTAGTAGTTTTTTTCTTGAATGTGTTGATTGAACAGTTGAATTATTGTAAAGAATTGCAGTTATTTATAATCTGATTCATGTGTGATTATTGAAATTATTGGTTGTGATAAATCATAGTAGCTTGAGGTCTTGATGTATGTCACATAGTGCCCATTTTAGCTAAAATGCTTGAGAATAATTTCAAGTTGGTAATATATGATGAGTTTATGTGTTACTTCTGTAGGGTTCGGGACAGGCCGTGGCTATTAGAGTGACAGCTGATCGTTGTGCATTCTATAATTGCAGGTTTCTTGGTTGGCAGGTATATCATTGGCTCTGTTTTTCTTCTCTTCGATTTTAGTGTTGTTACTAGTTGCTGATATGAGGACATTTTACAGTTGCTTTTCATTCTGAGGAAGAAGCGATTTAGATTTGATTCGACGGTGGTTTTGGAAATCGTGAATAAACTTACCCATATGCACTAAATTCCAAACGTTTAATAAGGAAAAATATCCAATGGTTGCGTTTACTGTAAAGATTTTAGTTTTGTTTATTTATACCCGAGTTAAAAATATTTCATCCGATGAAATTGGTGATTATGCAGGATACCCTGTATTTGCATTATGGGAAGCAATATTTGAGAGATTGCTACATTGAAGGAAGTGTAGACTTCATCTTTGGTAACAGCACTGCGCTTTTGGAGCATTGTCACATCCACTGCAAATCCGCTGGATTTATAACTGCACAAAGTAGAAAATCTTCTCAAGAGACAACTGGCTATGTATTTTTAAGGTTAGTGACTGACCTTATTTTAGCTTGAGTCTTGACATTTACTATAGTCAATTGAATTGTCTACGTGGACAAATTCATTGTATTGATTATAAATGGATCTTGTAAGCCTATTAGAACACATCAAGGATTTTCATGAATTTTTCATTTTGGTAATCCAACAGAATTATTATAAATTGTCACCAAGTGCAACACCAAAATATATAGAAGAGATACTACAAGGTATTGCCTCCAGGAGTGGCTTTTAATGAGTTTCTATAGCATGTAAAATAGATACAGGTATACAACATACTTGGAGGTGATGTTTATAACATCCTCTCTGCATTCTAGATGAACGAATCAGGAATGCAATTACATAGATTTGAATGGTTCGATGAGCTAAAAACCTCCCAAAAGGGAAAAAATTTGACACCCTTTATCAACTCTATATGGTCCAATGAGCATATAGTGAGTTGATTTCTTTGAGATCTATGGTCCTAACAAGATGCATTATTTAATTTTTTTCCACATTTTCTTCTTGTGACCTTGTCTAGTTAAACGGTAGTTTCACTGTTCCAGATTGACGAGTGTCATTCATTCTGGCTTCGGCTCGAGAGAAGTTTAGAGCTATTAGATGTTCAATCCACTCAGGGTAGCTAGTTATATTTAGCTTTCTTACTTGCATCCATTTAATCAATTTGAAGGATCTATACATGAACTGATCAATTCTTGCACTTCATTGTTTTTGTGGAGTTAATTCTTTACTTTTTTAATCATTTCTATTATGAACCAATCAAGATACCAGAATCACTCTGATACCACTTGTTGAGAATCCGGCCAAATAATTAAAGACAAGAATAATATGAGCAATATGAAAAATAATGGATCACACAACAATCAAGATTTTAATTGTATTTACAAGATTTGATTCTCTCAATCTAAATCTAAACAATTCTCTCAAGTTTCTAATATATAGAACAATGATCTAATTGTTATCCTGAGTCTCTCTCGAGTCCCTGAAGAGCCTACACCTTGTGAAGTATTTATATGAGTCAAATCTTGGAGTTATAGATGAAGTAGAACAAAATCGCGTCAAAAACCAAACAGGTGTAAAATTCTCCCCAAATGGGTGGCGCTGCGGCATCACCCGCCCGCGCCGCCTCCTCAACGCCGACCGTTCGTCTCTCTTTCGCGCTGTCAGCGCCGTGATGCCGGGACGATTCTGTCCCAAAGCGTTCCAAAACACTTTTTCATCCATCCCAAAGTCCTTATCCAAATTAAACTCTCAATCCATGATGAAATTTGATTCCTGATCAAATTGGATTTCCAAACCAACATTATCTAGGCTTCTTCTATGAATCAAACTTTCAAATCACGTAGAATTTGAGTCACAAAACATAACAATTTCTTATTGCAGCTTTATTTTGATTATTTCTGTAAATGTGTCGAGTAATTTTATTTCGAGTTTGCTGTATTGACGCAGGTGCGTAATTACTGGTAATGGAGGGACACAATATACACATCTTGGACGCCCATGGGGACCTTTTGGAAGGGTGGTTTTTGCTTACACATATATGGATGCTTGCATTAAGCATGTTGGTTGGAATAATTGGGGGAAGACTGAGAACGAAAGATGTGCTTGCTTTTACGAGTACAAGTAAGTCCTACAGGATTTTCACAATTCCAAGAAGCCTGTATAATACACAATGGTTCAATATTTCGAGTATGAGAATGTGTAAAGAACAAAAACTAAAATTACATGACAACTTTAGAACAGTCTTTTTAGAGATACTGCCTCATGTTCACCTATGCCGTTTAATTAAAAGGTTGAGCAAAATTGTAGGTGTTTTGGTCCAGGGAGTTGCCCCTCAAAACGGGTGACATGGGCCAGAGAACTGATAGACGAAGAAGCTGAACAGTTTGTTTCACATGGTTTCATTGACCCAGATCCAAATCGGCCATGGTTGGCACAGAGAATGGCTGCAAGGATACCATATTCAGCTTAGAAATCACCCTACCAGAAAAACAACTGAACTCTATAAAGTTTATCGGGGAAGATGGGAGGCACAATGCTTGTTATTTACATTTAGCAAGGAGTTGTATTTGGAATTTTAATTTATAAACTTCTACTGTTTCAGCAAGAACCTTTGTTTTTGTTTACATATTTAACGCGATATTTGTATTGTGTATCAAAGAATAAGTCTTGTTATTGAGCGTTTGAATGGTAGTTTTTCATGACTCGAGCTACAAAATTTCTCTTGGTCATTCTTCACAAGTTTCGAAATAAAATTCAACGTTAGCGACTTCATCCATATGGGACATCCTGTCACGTCTTTTAAAGCCCATGCAATTTATGAAATTTGGAGATTTGATTGAAATAGTTTGGATTTGGGTGATCTCTCGTAAAAGTAACTCAACGTTGGTTGATTTTCCTTTTGCAAACAAAAATTTCAGTCAAGTAAAATTTCACTACCGTCCTCAAACTACTGCATCAATAGCATTGTAGTTCTTAACCTTTAGAAAATGACAGTTCGCAAACTTCATCGCCTAATAATTAACAATTGTGCACCACGTAAGGAAAGATAAAGCGCCAAATCCAGGTCTTCTTTACCCCCATCCCTTTTCCTTTTCCCCTTTGATTTTGCTTTAACATGACCAAAATTGCAGTGGTTCCGTTGCAGTGGTTCTGTTGTGTCGGGTGGTGCTGGGGGAAATGCTTAAGCCAGGGTACGCCGTCACATATCAAAGGTTCTTGAGGTTAACATTGTAAGTAATTAGCAGACAAATTTTTTCAAAGTTTTCGTTTATTGGAAATTTTCCAAAATTACAACCATGAAAATCACAAATATGTTTCAAATCTACAGCTTTTCAAAGGAGAAACATAAAAAAAAAAAAAAGCACAAGATGACATACTGAACCGTTAAACTCGCAGAAAGTATAATACGAGGACAAGTCAACAAGAAGCTCATGTACTTCACACATCATCTCAAAACAGACATGGTCCTAGTTACTTGGAAAGTTTAAAATACAATATCACAATGATAGCAATGACTAGTACCGTCGTTACAGCACCAATAATCCACTTGTTTCTGTTCATCCTCCTTGACATGGATGTTATAATTCTCTTGCTCCTGCTTACGTTATCGTCTACACCATGCAGCTGGAATAAATGAAGATAAATCGTAGTAATTATAGTAAATATATATTTCAGATCTAATAAGAGATTAAAAGTAAGAAGGTTATGCAAGATCTGCTGGGGGACTGGGGACTCCAAAAAACAGCAAAGGAATCACTAAAAAGAACAAAATGGTCACAAATTAATACCGTGTTATTTGCATGTGAGAGAGACTGTCGCTGTTGGTGCAAATCTTGAAGAAGTGAGACGCCAAGATCCTCTGTCTCCAGCATGACCTTTCTACTGTCACGAATCCTATCACTGGACTTGTTCAATCTTCCAGTTGACACTAACAATCTGTCCCTCTGACTAGCGGATACCTATTAAAGTCATCGTTAGTGCCTCAACAAGTTCAATAAGTCATGTCAAGGGGGCATATCTTGTTCCTCTTAAAAGTTAAAACATGTTATTACTTGTAAATGATTTACATAATGAGGTTATAGAATCGATAGGCAGTGAGTGGGCATATGTGAATATCTATTTATGTTGAATGGGGGAAGGATGGTGAGAAATTGAAAATCAGACCACAAAACTATAGTCACAAAAATTTTACTGGAATGCAAGGTTATTGTAATAACATAATCGTGACTGGAAGACATTTTTTATGCAGAATCATATGAAAGATTTATGCAGTAAATATATGCATTAAGTAGGAAACGTTGAGTTGAATGCTCTCTACACTTGAGATACACATGAACTACCAAAGCACAGTAAGCATGCACGATTCTGAATAAAAATATCTCTCTCCAACAATAATCAATCGTGAAAAGAAAAAGGTCAAAAAGAAAGAAAGAAACTCAGAAGACTTTAATGCATAAGAAAACAGAGTGATGTATCATAATAATATATACATACTGTTAATGTATCAGCCATCCCAGCCTCCAGCAACTCATCTCGGGCAGCCTGATTTAGGTTTGCTGATGCAATTCGCTTAATTTCACCTTTTAAATTGTTAAGATCAGATTTATATTCTCTTAGTTTAGCAAGCAGCACCGCTTTAACATTTGGTTGCAAACCACGGGCCTCAAGGTCCATTTTCCGAATCTGTGAGATTATCAGCCAATTAAAAAAGAATTCCGAGAAAACAGAAATAAGAGAAACAATATCGAAAAATGTGTCGATGATCACCAGAGCTTCTGCATTATCTACTCCAGTTTTTACTTCAGAGATTTTTTGCTTCTTCAGCTCTGCAAAGAAACGAAATTTAATTATTATCAATTTCCATGATATTGTAAGGAATAATTAGAGAAAAAAATATTCAAAAGAATACCAGCAAATGCTTCAGAACCACAATCAACAACACACATCACGATATCAATCAATATATTTTGCAGTCAGACTCATGAGTTACTTTACAAAAATGCATGTAGGGAAAGCGTAAGTTTACGAGCAAAAAATGCCAGGTTGTCGAACCTAACTATTACTGCTCCGTGAAGCCAGTACACAGATCGACCTCCGCAGTGACGTCACCCTAGGGTTGGAAAGGGGGAAGGAAGCCCTCCCGGACAGTTTTTGAATTTGTGTCATTGTAAATTTCATATTAGGAATTTGAATCCTTGTAAATTTCGATTTTGCCATGATTTGTCTTATAAATAGTGCGATTTTTTTTTTTAAACTTCTTTTAGTGAATTGCTACAACAACAAAAGATGACGTAGTCTCACAATGAGGCAGACCTCTATAAATCTTGTGTCTTGATTTCTTTCCGCTAATTGATTGATCTTGGAAGAATAGAATTAGGGTTTCTAATTCTCAACAAAAAGAAGAATCCAAACATATCAAGTCTCCCGCCCTCCTTCTTCCAAAATAAACATGCAGTCTATAAAAGGAGGTAGATAAATTTTTAAGACTTCCCTTAGCCCTCCTTCCCAGAGAAAGAGGAAGGATTTAAATTGCCCGAATACAATAATAGACATTATAAGAAACTTTTTTATTCTCAATTTTCTTTCACTGAATACATATATCTTATTCTTGCTATCTGCATTATCGAAAACCTTAGCAAGTAATCGGAGTTAGTACATTGACAAATAATCTCTTTAACTATAAGCATTGAGCATTAATAACAGTTCCATTTATTAAAGTCAAAACAGAAGAAAAGCTCAAGAATTTGCCTAGAACATTGACAAGAAATTGGAATTCTTTCACACTGCACCATGTCAAATCTCACACGCAATATATGGAATTTTCTGCTTCTAGTGTATTTGTGAAGTAGATTCCTAATTCAGATCAGCCAGGTGATGAGGTGAACAATTAGCATAGGCTGTTCATTTTCAAATCAAATAGTATTCCAGTAATGCGTTTAAGAGATATCCCTATTGATCGGTCGTGCAGTCAGTTAACATTTTAAACCTGCAATTGAGAACCTAAAATTCCAATCATTACTAATACATAATAAACAACAAGATGGCTACAAGAATCAAATATAACCTCCGTCAAGTAAACTGGCCGACGTCAACTTCTTCGATAAATTCGCAGAAAGCTCGCAATATTGGCGTTCGTAACCTTCAAAAACCTCGCTCATCGTGATTCTTTCTGTTTATTCTAATTAAATTGAAAGTAACAAAGAATTAAACTCGGATCGAATGTCAATTAAATAAATAATTGTCATATGACAAGATAATCAACAATTCAAATCGCAAATTAGATTAAATAATCAAAAATATTCAAATTAAAACTGAAAAATACCTAGATCGGGTTCTGGATTGGGAATTCTAGCCGAGAGTTGGAGAGATTAGGGCAATTTCGTGAAATTCTGATGGTCGATCTGATTATTACATTTAGACCACAAAATGAAAAGGCTGCTTTTGGATTCCAAACGCGTCTCTTCGTCAGTACCGTTTATTATGATGAAAGCGCTATTCAATTTGCGCGATTTTAGTGCTGTCCGAACTCGAATGTAATATTTGATTAGGGATGATTTTTAGAAATTTTATTTATCCAAAATAACAATAATAATGTTGCTTGTACATAAACAGTTATATAATAATTAATAGTTTAAATGAAGTGTCCAAAAGAGAGTAGATTTTTTTTTTGTTGAATAAATTTTGACTGAATCATATCTCGCCATATTATGTATATGTCAACCATTATGTACATGTAGTACAATCGAAATAACATTTTCTTTTGATAGAATGAATTTAAATTTATCCTTCGTTTCTTTTCATTCCAAATTGTTAATACTAGAACCAAAAATTTTAATATTTTAAATATTGATTTTCTTAAATTTTATTATTTTCAATTAATTAATATTGTAGTGACTTTAGTTTTTTGAAGGAAATTGCTCGTGAGATGAATTTGGGATAGATGGGATGCACAACTAGGTTGCAATTGCTAAATGGGAAAATTTCATAATTAAGAAGTTTAGTTCTACTAATTTTAAATTTAAGACATTACGTTTAAAATTTCAAATTTTAGAGTTTTTTAAAATTTATTTATAAATAAATAAATTAATTAAAAATATATGTTTTTTATTAATTAAATACATTAAGGTTACAATTCCATATAATTTGGTTACAAATTTCATATAATTGGTCATAAATCACAAATTTTATATGTCACAAATTATTTTACGAGTACAATTCAAAAATTTTATAGGTCACAATTTGTTCATCGGTCACAAATCAAAAATTGAAACGTCACAAAATTATTTTATGGTCACAATTCAAAAAAATTACGTGTCAAAATTTGTTCATCGGTCACAAATCAGAAATTTTATAAGTCACAAATTATTTTTACTGTCACAAATCAGAAATTTTATAGGTCACATTATTTTACGGTCACAATTCAGAAATTCTATAAGTCACAATTTGTTCATCGATCACAAATCAAAAATTGAAACGTCACAAATTATTTTATTGTCACATTCAAAAATTTTACCGGTCACAATTTGTTCATCGGTCACAAATCAGACATTTTATAAGTCACAAATTATTTTACTATCACAAATTAGAAATTTTATAGGCACAAATTATTTTACGGTCACAATTCAGAAATTCTAAAGTCACAATTTGTTCATCGGTCACAAATAAAATAATTTATATGTCGCAACTTGGTCACAATTGTATACAATTTGGTTACAAATTCATTAATAATCACAATTCATTTATCAGTTACAAATCACAAATTTCATAATTCACAATTCAAATTTTTAGGTCACATATTATTTATTAGTCACAATTTATCAATCACGCGTTATTTTTTAGTCACATAATACCCAAATTAATGGTCACAAACTCTCTTAATTTCACTACTTACCCCAATCCACCAAGCACCACCACTTCCAACAACTACCACCATTACACCTACAAACAAAATCGTTACCACCATCACCTAAAAAACACTAACAAATCAAATCCACGACAACGACCGCACCACCACTGACGCTGTAATGATCACCCAACAACCAGTAACCACCACCGACATCTACACCACCAACAACAACAAACGCAACAAATAAAAATCACCAAAAATAAAATTAACACTACCACAAAACTCATGAAAATCGCCACCACCTCAGAGCACAGCCACCACCACCAACTGCACATAATCGCCATTGCCGTCTCCGCCAACAACCACATCCACTTTCAAAAATACTCCACTACCCAAAACCCCACTACAGCCCATACACAACCTACCTCATTAGCTGACCCAAATTCATCTTCATCCTCCAAACCCTACAGCAACCACCATCGCTGGTGTCTGATTTTGGCATTACCTTAGTGTTTGCGTTTACATACCCAATCAATTGCTTGGTGTGTGTTTCTGGGACACCCTCAACCATAATAGCCACAACTCTAATGGTTGGCTGCTTAAGAGCAGACAAGGACGAAGCAGCAGCACTGCAAGAACAACAATTGGCGATGAATATGTCACAACGCTAAAGAAAGAAAGAAGAAATGGGGGATCTGAATCTCAATCTGTATCCACCACCTCACCACAATTGCTAACACCATTACCACCACACCGCTACCACCACATCGCCACCAACAATTGAAAAACACAAATCAACGATGGTATTGGGTCATCTTACCAGACAAATCCCCAAGCCGTAATGGCGATTCGAAAGCGGCGATCTGAGATCAGTGAACTGCGACGAACAGCTAAGAGTGCTTCTGCGATGAACGGAGACCGATGGGGTCTTTGCGTGAAACTACCACAGAGCCTGTACCGACGCTTTTCTCGTGAGTCACTGTTGTGCTCACCACCTTTCATGTGGTTGCTCAAGAGAAGCACCACCTTCCTGAGCGGTGCCGCTGCAATGCGCTAATCGGTCGGCTGGAATAGAGAGGTGGTGGGTATGTAGAGGGATAAAGATAGAATATAGGGAGAGAAAATTAGAAGGGTGAGAGATTTAGGGTTGCTATTTGGGAGTTGGAATCGGGTTCAATGTTTTAATTTTATTTTTTTAAAATTAAATTATTAAAAATTTAAATATCTTCTGATTTTTGAAAAAAAAAACTTATATATCTTAATTTTGAATTGAAAAGTTTAAAACTCTGGTTGCTTGTAATTTTCTCTTGCAAAATTTCTTCTTGGGCCAATAAAGAACCAATTGACTTAAAATGGTCCTTAATTGTATCAGAACGAGTTCTTGCATTTCAATGTGGAATTGTAACTCTATTTGAAAGAGTCGAAAGAAATCCAAGGAAGCTTTTAAGCTTTTCCTTCTAACTGAGAAATATTAGTGACCTCGAAATAATTTTGATAGTGAATATTAAAGTTGGCCGATCTCATTATCATGCTCAAATTCTTATACAGTGGAGTGACTTAGCCTAATTAAAAATTAGATTTTTAGTACATGTCATAGAAAAAAAATAAAATATGTGGTTTTAAATTTGATAAAAGTTTTGGATCTCTTGTAACGTGTTTCAAAATGAGTTTTAGAAGATGAAGGTCAAAATGAGATTTAACATTCGCCCGTCGTCCAGCAGTGCAACTTTCTAGAGGTCAAGTCGACTCTGATTGTGTTAGGTCTTTTAAATCTTATAAATCGAATATGCACCGTGTTTAGTAAATTTGTTTATTAAATATAAATAAATTACTAATTATCACATGCATGGCACGTATGATAACTAAGGTAGTGAGTCGAAGCAAATATCAGTATTCTTAAATTAATGCTAATATTAAACATAAATTACGTCACTTTGAGAAGAGACTTGTGGTCTCACCTCGAGCCTCCACGTGGAACAGCATGATTCTTCATTGACATCTTCATCAACGGAAAAAATAATAATGTCAGGGCGTGCGGACATTAATATGGGTTATTGAGTGTTATCTTTTGATTTTTGAAAAAAAAAAACTTATATATCTTAATTTTGAATTGAAAAGTTTAAAACTCTGGTTGCTTGTAATTTCCTCTTGCAAAATTTCTTCTTGGGCCAATAAAGAACCAATTGACTTAAAATGGCCCTTAATTGATTCAGAACGAGTTCTTGCATTTCAATGTGGAATTGTAACTCTATTTGAAAGAGTCGAAAGAAATCCAAGGAAGCTTTTAAGCTTTTCCTTCTAACTAAGAAATATTAGTGACCTCGAAATAATTTTGATAGTGAATATTAAAGTTGGCCGATCTGATTATCATGCTCAAATTCTTATACAACGGGGTGACTTAGCCTAATTAAAAATTAGATTTTTAGTACATTTCGTAGAAAAAAATAAAATATGTGATTTTAAATTTGATAAGAGTTTTGGATCTCTTGTAACATGTGTTTCAAAATGAGTTTTAGAAGATGAAGGTCAAAATGAGATTTAACATTCACCGGTCGTCCAGGAGTGCAACTTTCTAGAGGTCAAGTCGACTCTGATTGTGTTAGGTCTTTTAAATCTTATAAGTCGAATATGCACCGTGTTTAGTAAATTTGTTTATTAAATATAAATAAATTAGTAATCATCACATGCATGGCACATAGGATAACTAAGGTAGTGAGCCGATGCAAGTATCATTATTCTTCAATTAATGCTAATATTAAACATAAATTACGTCACTTTAAGAAGAGACTTGTGGTCTCACCTCGAGCCTCCACGTGGAACAGCATGATTCTTCATTGACATCTTCATCAACGGAAAAAATAATAATGTCAGGGCGTGCGGACATTAATATGGGTTATTGAGTGTTTGGTAAGCTTGACTATTTAATTATGAGTTTTATTGATTATAGTTCAAAATAAGTAAGTAATATATTTTAAAACAATTCATATTTTACTATTAAATAACTTATTTATATAGTAAGTACTAATTTATCTAGACATCATTAAAAATAAAGAATTATTAAGCGCCTGTTTGAGTATCATTTTGAGCTAAAAATGCATATTGAAATAGTAAATTGATAGAAAATGTGTAGTTAAAAAATAAGAAGTTTTGAGTTTGCGTGTAATATTATTTTATTAAAAAATGTGTAATTGAAAATGGGAGAGCAAAATATTTTTTGAAAATAATGTGAATCTAAAAAAGGCTAAGCTTCCGTTTGTTTCTCATTTTTCATCCATAAAAATGAAAAATATGACCGTTATCCATCACATCAAGCCATCAATTTTGAATTTCTATATCTTGTGTGAGGCTCAATAACGACTATATTTTTCATTACATATTCCGAAAATACTTTTAAAGGAAGTCATATTAGACTAAGCTTCCGTTTGTTTCTCATTTTTCATCCATAAAAATGAAAAATATGACCGTTATCCATCACATCAAGCCATCAATTTTGAATTTTTATATCTTGTGTGAGGCTCAATAACGACTATATTTTTCATTCTCATTCTACAATAATGAGAATCAAACGGACTCTAACAGTGATTTTAGGTTACTTAGAGAAGTACATAAACCAACTAAACGAACAAAAAAGGTGTGTTTTTGTAAACATTAGAGTTCTTGCACATCTTTTCTTTTGGTAATCGAATTGGTTGTAAATTTCAACTTCACAATCTTTTTTGTCCCTTTATTTGGCCTTATTCTTCTCATGGATTATACTCATAACCAATGACATTTGATGAATTTCGATAATTGAGATAACTTGAAAAATAATCTCGACTAATGTTAATTTATTTTACGAACACCTGAATTTCGAGTTAAAACCCTATTGAATAAATGGAATACATTAGCTGTCTGTTTTCAAGTTGGACAATAAGGATCGGAGAAGGACAATCACATTCGATTACTACACATCATAAATTACACAAACAATAACATAAATTGAGCATTAGAGAAATAATTTAACAGAAAATATATAATTATTAAAACAAGAGAAGTGTGACTTTTTTATTTAACTTGAAATGAAGCCAATAGAAAATTTAAAAATAGTAAGGAATACATTTGGCATGATTTAAGCCGATAGAATCAAACCTTTGTAGCCGTTGGAAATGCTTATTGTCGCATGCTTTTGGTAATATGTTTCTCTTGACTTTAATTGCTAATTATTTATATTATATGAATCATGATTGATAGAGAGAAGCATGCCATTTGACGTGTTTGAGTACGCAACTCATTTAAATAAGTAAATATCTTTAATTTATTAGTTTACAGTTGCAACTTCAAATGTTCTCACCAACCATTTGTGAAAATGTTAAACCCTTAATGAGAAAATGACTGGAAGAGACTAAAGATTTTGCATACAACTTACTCGAAATTTTAGCAACATGTGAACAAGAAAATTAAGAAAGAAAGCAATGTTTAAATAGCTAATCATTTCATACTAAAAGACATAAATGCATAGAATAAGATTAAGGGCATGTTTGAAAAAAATATTTGATTTTGCTCATGTTTCTTGTATAAGAGTTTCCCGAATAAGCTATCTTAAATTAACCTTCTTTAAAAATCTTTCTAGCAAAACAAAACACTTCCAGAAAATTATCGTAATATGTTTAAAAGCAGCTTTTAACTTTATAAAAGCCTGGTCAAACACCCTAACATAGACAAGGAAGCAAGAAGCAAGAAGCAAGAAATATATATATGTATATATATATATGCATGATATTATATATCAAATTGAGTAATATTTTACTCCCTCCCTCCCCCAGAAGATTTTTCCATATAATCATATTATTATAAAGAACAAAAGAGTCTGAACGGCAAGAAAAGACTCGGTTCATCACTAAATTCTCCTTTGACAGGATCATCCCAGGGATATATATATATATCATTGGCACATCAACATAACCTGAGTGAAAAAAGAAAAAAAACTAAAACAAAAGGCAAGAAGCGATAACAAGTAATTCTTTTGACAAACGAGAAGAAAATGGCTAGGAAGAGAAAAGCTGGTGCAGGGGTGGATGAAAAGCATACTGACAAAGGGAATGTTGTCTCGCAAGAAATGGTTAAGGAGGCGGCAGCCAGGGCAGCAGCAGGCACAGTACTCCAAGCGCGCAAGAGATTTGTTGGGGTTCGACAGCGGCCATCGGGGCGGTGGGTGGCAGAAATAAAGGATACTATTCAAAAAATAAGGGTGTGGTTAGGCACCTTTGACACAGCTGAGGAGGCTGCAAGGGCGTATGATGAGGCAGCTTGCCTGCTTCGCGGGGAAAATACTCGAACGAATTTCTGGCCACGTTCTCCCTCGTCGTCATCTTCCTCTTCATCTCTTCCCCCAAAAATTACCAACCTTCTTCTTAGCAGGCTAAAGGCACGAAACAAAGAGTTGACTGCTTCCTCCTCCTTGCCCGATGATCATGTTTTCGTTTTCGTTTTAGTCAGTCAGGAGTACATAGATGAATTGGCTGATTTTTCAGAAACCACTGATTTTCTCAATGATCCTGAAGATTACACCATTGATAACAGCAGTATGATCACTAACGATTATACAAGATCATGCCTAACACAAAATGATGACTTTCAAACGAGCAATTTCAATTTGGATCAGAACTTGGATGATTTAGTACATCTTTCTAATGATCAGTGCTCTAGTGGGGATGAGAACATTAGAGGGGAAATGGAATATGAAATTGAAAATGAGAATACTGGTCTAGATGATGTTGATTTCAAATTTGTTGATGAAACTGTATCATTTAATTGTACCCCTTTTGAGATTGCCGAAGAGATTTCAAGGGAGGGATATGGAGATGAGCCATTGATGCTTAGTGAGGTCATGAAGAGGAATTATGAGAGAAAGTTTTCAGCCTCTCTCTATGCCTTCAATGGGATCCCAGAATGCCTCAAGATGAAGCTCAAATCTGGGAGTGTCCTGCAACAGGAAAGTTCTGATATCTTGAACAAACTCCAAAATGCATGTAAAATGAACCAACAAGAAAAGAGAAAACTTGAAGAAGGCAACATTAAAGAGAGTGAAAAGAATATGCAGGATCGGAATGCGCAAGCTTCAACAGAAAATGATGGTGAATTGTCACTCTGGACCTCCATAGATCTCCAACCCATATGTATGCTTTGTTAATTAGTTGATAAATTTGATGTTTTAACAATCAAAAAAAGTGTATGAATTTTGTAGTTAAAGAGAATTAACAATAAGCTTTCACTATATGTTTATGAAATAAAGCCTTGAACTAAATCCAGAATCTTTCCAGGATAGATAAAAAGTACACGAAAAAAGTTGAAGGAAAAATGTTGTAGTGCAAGATTCTACTCTATAAAAGCCAGCAAAAAGAATGGCCCTATTCCTAACTAAAATATCAATGTATACAGTTTAGAAGGAAAAAAAAAGAGCTGGGACAAAGTAGATGCCGTTACCTGTTCTACTATTTCCTCCTCTAACTTCCGCCTCTGGACGATGTAATCAAACAACTCATCAGGCTCCAAATATTCCATCACGAGACGAATATCTAAATGCATCAATACAACCTCGTATACATGTATGATATGGAATGTATCAACAATCTTATAATTTTGAATTCTCTTCTTACAACAGAAATCTTAGAAATAATCTAATAAGAACATATAACAAGCTTAATCCAGTCAACTAAGCACAAATTAGAGATCCAGAAGAATTTAATGAGTGCAGCCATTGGAAAAACTTACAAGAGAAAATGAATTATGATGTTAACACTCAATAGAATCAAACTGCACTGCAACGCTTAATAATACACAATACCCCCAAAAAGAACATTAATATGTTAAAATGGACACAAAAAGGCTCATGAACAATACCATCAAGGAATCCAAAGTCACTGCACTAGCTAAAAACTGATAAACATTGTTCCAGCAGTTCTAACAATTTCAATCCAAATTTTACATATATCAATGAAAAAACAACCCCACTTCCAGAAACTTTGTCATGGCATCCCAGGATTTTTTGAACGCCAAATTTCATAATTATACACAAGCCATTTCAATCGTACTGTTGCATCTTTAACCAAAACAAAGACCGTACGTGCATCTCTGTTACAAAGAAAGTTGCACACATAACAATAAAATGGACTTCCCTTTGCTATTCCTTCCATACTGTGTACCATTGCCATGCACTCTTCAATGGAAGATCCAGATGATGCAGAATACAATGCAGCAATCGAAGACATTGAATTTAGGATAAGCTTAATCTCATCCTTCAATGGAGATGCACCCGACTTCCTTCTTTTACAATTATCATGAAGGCTACCAGTTCCAATTGATTTTCTTTTCCCAATCGCGGAAGACGTAAACATTTCATTATCTCCTTCCTCACAATGAGGAGATTTATCTATATATTTTAAATAAGACTGTAGAATTCGACATAATGTTAGGAGGCATAACCTCATCCATACATCACATCCTTCTTCCCATTGTTCTTCGTCAATGTCTTCATCCTCGGTATTATAATCACTATTCTTTCCAGAAGCTACATGTGATATATCCCAAATCTCCATCCTGCAGATCAATGAAAACGCAAGCGGTATTAACAATTGAACATTATAGCCAAAAAAAAAACAACACCAACACAGAAATTCAAAAGGAACCTACTTCTTCTATATGCCAAAAATTAAAATGAATATTAACCAAAAACCTCAAGGGAAACATAGCACAGAACTAATATGCTACACAAACAAAATTTCCAGCAGAAGTATTCCAAACCTATAAGTCATTCTCAAACTCACAAACACATAGTTATTTTAGTAACAGGATGAGAAATGTATGATCAGTAAAAGGATTAAAATTTAAAAGCATAAAAAAATCTGAAAACTTCGGAAGGTTGAAGAGGCGCTTATAATTTTACACTGTCAACAGATAAGAAGCGGAAACTTACAAACTAAACCTGAAAAATTAGAGTTTTTTCAGATATGTTGCCATAATTCTTTCAAAATAATTCCCCCTAAAACTTAAATCTTGGAAATTTATCAACATGTTTTCTCATAATTACAAATACGTAAATTTACAGCTTGCAACAATTTTTTCAGTACTATGATATTAGGAAAATCCGCAAAACAATAAAAACCCAAAAATTTAACCATATGATTTTTTTTCAAAACCCGAAGAAATTGAAAAACTGACAACACGTGCATAAACTGAGAAATATGCATAAATCAAAAGATAGAAGCTCACAGAAATGCAAAACGACGAAATTGTGTGTGAATTTAGCGAACAATAGCAGAGCGCTCTAAAATCTAGAATTGCAGTTGCAGGCAAGATTTTGGGGACTGTTCGGGAAACGGATTATATGCTAAGACCCAAAATGATTGGTTGCTTAGGCCCAATAGTATTTTTCGGGTTTTAGTAGACCCCTAATTGTAGGCCATTAGTCCGAATTGGCCCGTAAAAGGTAAAATAAGAAGTGGTAATTACACGAAATCATACTTTAAGTTTTTAAATTTTTAAAATCAGATTGGAAGTTTAAAATTACCAAAATTAGAAATTTTGGTATATTAATTATATTAAAAAAAATAATAACTGTTTCCTTATTTTACGTCTTTGAATATATGGAAATTCTCCACGTTCATTCTATAATCTCTCCCCACGTTCATATTTTTTATTGGTCACACACCAACTAATTTATTGGTCACAATAAATAAATCATTTGTGACCACAACCAATACAACACCATCGTCTCTGCCGCCACACCAACACCACATAAACCGCCGTCGTCGCCACTATCGCCAAAACTGTCACAACAATTACCACCGATCCACAACCACAGCCACAGCTACTGCCACCACCATCTCCATCACAGTCACTACAACCGTCACAACTACCATTTCCTCTATCTTCATCCCAATCACACTACAACCACCAACCCCCCTAAAAAATCCCCAAATCATGATGTCGTCCCACGACCACCACCATGAACATCACCACCATCGTCGCGACGACCACCACAGCTTCCACCAACAACCGCAAACACAACAAAAAAACCCAGAGATAAAATGGCCGCCTGTGATAGAGATCTACAACGTCAATTTACAATAATCTGTAGCTTGATCTCTCCCTGCCCATGAACAATAGATCTCTACAATAATCTGTAGCTGGACCTCTGCAATAGGTCTCTGCAACAAGAGAAACTCCGCTGCGGATCCGGTGGTGCCGTCGTAATCGACACGGCGACATCTCTCTTGGTGAAGACTGAAATGGTTCAGTTTCAAACACCCATGGCCTTGGGCGAGTCAGAAAGTGAAGCCCCGATTTTGAAACCAAGGACCGTCGGGTTGACCAGGAAGATTACCAAGCGGAAGTGGCGTGCAAAAGGTGCAACTACGAAGAAACAGAGAGAGAGAGACTGGGAATTGAAGCCTGTGATAAAGTGAGAGGATAGAGAGAATTAGGGTTTAATTTATAAAGAGAGAGAGAGAGAGAGAGAGAGAGAGAGAGAGAGAGAGAGAGGAAAAGTGAGAAAATATAGAGAGAGAGAATGGGAATAGAAATGAATTAGAGTTTAATTTATAATATTTAAATATGAATTATTAATTATAAATTAAAATCTGATTTTTGTATGATTAAACTTGATTCTTGATTTATGAAAATGGAAATTTAAACCCATTCTAGCTGTAATTTCCTCATGATTGGTTGCTTAGGCCCAATAGTATTATTTGGCTTTTAGTAGACCCCTAATTGTAGGCCATTAGTCCGAATTGGCCCGTAAAAGGTAAAATAAGAAGTGTTAATTACACGAAACCATACTTCAAGTTTTTAAACTTCTAAAATCAGATTGAAAGTTTAAAATTACCAAAATCAGATATTTTATATTTATATATTAAATATTAATTAAACAATTTTTATCCCAACCCTAATTAATTCCCCCCCAAAGGCCAAAACCGTGTCTTCTCATTCTCTCTCCCCTACACCTACCTCCCCAGCCACTGTAGCCGTCGTCGCCGATATGAAACGCAACACCCACCGCAGGATTGTTGCAAGGACGACACCACCACCTCTCAAAGGAGGCGTCGCTCTGAAGCAGCGGAGCCACCATTGGGAAGACGCCGCACCACCGCTCAAGACGGTTATCGTTGCCAGCCGCTACAGAAACCTGCTTGATGTAAGCGTTCGCGCGATTTGAACGTCGGCTCTGTCGTAGCGACGATTTGAATTTTTGGGTGTGCAAATCAATTATTCGGCATCAGCTACAATTCGGGACTCGGGAGTGCAGATCCATTATTTTTTTCCTCATTTTGAGTGGTGGTGATTGATGTGTGCGGTGTGATATGGTTGGTTTGTGAAGTAGTGGATGTGTGCTGTGCGATGTGGTTGGTCTGTGAAATAGTGGTGGTTGAAAATGGTGGTTGTGGTGAGTTTTCGAGTGGTGAGGTTGTGTTGGCGATGTTAGTGATGGTGGTTGTGGTGAGTTATCGACGGTGGTGGCAGCGGCGGAGTAGGGTTAGGGCATGTGAGACAGTGGTGGCGGTGAGGTGGTACTATATAGTCTATGTGACCAATTTTGTAACCAGAGCCATGTCCTGTGACCTGTGTTGTGACATATGTTATGACCTGAGCCATGTGTTGTGACCTATGCTGTGACTATCAACAAAAATCTAAGCGTTTAAAAATAACATGGGACTATGAACAAAATTGTGACATGTACTGTGACCATTTGAAAATAATCCGTGACTATTAACAAAAATGTGATACATGAGCTTTATCGTGTTATCAATCATTATAAACAAACAACCATGCGTTGTGACTTGTGACCTGGGCTGTGGCTTATGACTTATGACTTGTGACCGTAAAAAAAACATGGCAACCGTACAAAATAATATAGCGGAGTTGTCCGCCGGAATATTCGCCGGAGTTGGAACAGCTGCCGGAATCGGAGAAGTCGTCGGGAAAAATCGATCCCGGAACGATCGTCAGAACGGTCACCGGAATCGAAGTAGTCGTCGGAACGGTCGTTGAAAAGTTCGCCGGAGTAGGACGGTGATCGGAACGGTCGCCGGAGCGGTAGGGGGTGGTGAATGTGGGATGAGTTAATTATATTATATAAGAATTAAATATTTAATAATAAATTAATTTAATAATTTATTATTTCATAAATAAAAATTTAACATTTTTTAATAAAAATCTGATTTTGGAAATTTCAAACTTATTTTCTTATTTTTGAAATAGGNATTTCAAACTTATTTTCTTATTTTTGAAATAGGCTAAACTTATTCTCTTAAATATATAATCTTCCCAAATAAGAATTGGGAAAATCTCAAAATTACCCATTTCAAATTTAAGAGATAAAGTTTAAAATTTTAAGTTTCAGATTTTTTAAGGTTTAAATTTTCAAATCTCAAAATTTTTAAAATTTTATTTATAAATTAATTAATTAAACATATATTTTATTAATTAAATATATTAAAGTCACAATTCTATATAATTTGGTCACAAATTCTATATAATTGATCACAATTCACAAATTTTACATGTCACAAATTATTTTACGAACACAATTCAAAAATTTTACAAGTTACAATTTGTTTATCGATCACAAATAAAAAAATTGAAGCGTCACAATTTTATATATCACAATTTATATGTCACAATTTATTCATCGGTTACAAATCAGCAATTTTATAAGTCACAAATTATTTTAAGATCACAAATCGAAAATTTTATAAGTCACAATTTGTTCATTGGTCAAAAATTTACCTCACAACTTATTTATCGGTCACAAATCACAAATATTATAAGTCACAACTTAGTAGACATTTACAAATTGTCAAATTATCGGTCACAAATTAATAATTTTTTAGGTCACGCATTATTTTTTTGTCACAATTTATATTTTTCATTGGTCACATATTGTTTATCGATCACAAATTAATGAATTTAATGGTCACGAACGATCAAATAATCTATGACTACCACCAACACTTATGATCATCACCTCACCACTGCCACCAATAGCATGACAATCGAAACCCTGCCATCGGAACCACCACCACCTCCCAGCAACGCATCATCTAAAAATACTGACATCACCACGACCACCACTACCTACCCACAACCACCACCACTAATACAATCACCTCCACCACCAACCACCACCGCACCACCCACAACCGTCGCACTACCACCACCGATCTGCAGCTCCGACCCCTCAAATCAATAGCTCCAAGTGAATCTCACCAACCATAACCTGCTGCTTCACCAGAAAATCATAGTCGCCGTCTTCGCTGATCAAAAAAATGCCACTGTCAGAGAACACAAGAAAGCACCGAAAAATGCTAGCAATCATCGATTAACATCGGCACGCTAGCACGAGACCACCGCTGCTTTGCTTCCCACACAGCAGCAGCGCCCGAGAGCGCCACTGCTGTGCCCGAGTCGCTACGGTAACGAGGCCTACTGTCGTGTTTAGCACGAAGCGGCAGCACCCGAACCTGCGGTAGCTACGTTCAAGTCACAAAGGCTGCAGGTGCTGCCCACCGTCACCGAGAGTCCATCATTTTCTCTTATTTTTTGATTTTTGCTAATTTACAGTGCTGGTCCTTCAACTCGTTTGAGAAGATGAAGTTCGGTCCATGAAACAGATTTACAAAATTCAAACAGAGTTGCTCACTCCGTCTCGTGGAGGTTGGGCTGCCAGTAGAGAGGGAAGAGATGGGAGAAGAGAGAGTGACGGTGAGAAGAGAGAGAAGAGAGGAGGAGGAAAATTGGAATGAAATTGATTAGGGTTTATGGTGAAAATTGTACAATTAATATTTAATATTTAAAATAAAATATCTGATTTTTGAAAAGTGAAACTTTTAATCTGATTTTGAATCTTTAAAATTCTTATTTTGTGTAATTTTCACATAAGAATTTTGAAAAATGAAATTTGGTAAGTGTGTTTTACGCACTTATTGTACTTTTAATATTGATAAATTGTGGAGATTAAAATCATAATAGATTTTGATAGAAGTTGATGAAATATGTGGTTGAAAAGTTGTGAAACCTAAAAAACATGTGGTTAAAATTAATTATTAACTTTGATTTAGATTAAAATCTAATTTTAATTGGTATCAAACATAGCTAAGTGACATTATGGGATTTGTAGGAAATGATCGAGGTTGAGGGTAACTGATTCAAAAGGCGGGGATTTTGAGCTTAATTGGAGATTAATTTGAGCACTTGAAGATTATTCGGGGTTGTAATCAATCAATTGAAAGAAGTTTTGCATTGCAATTGGAGGAAGTTAGGAGATTAAGAATGAAAAATTGACAAGTGGAATGCTGGGGACCAAAAAGGAAGTTTTGAAAAGTTGATAGACCAAATTGCAATAAAGAGAAATGAGCCATCGGTGGACGACAGGTTGCAAACCTACAGTCGACCCGTGGCCTTTGAAATTCCCTTCTAACTGTGGCAGACCCACGATCGGTCTGTTTGGGACGATTTTGTGTGTTTTTTTTATTTTTTATTTTTAAGGTTTGCTTTGGATGGGAACTCTTTTAAAAAGTATATTACTATAAGGATTGAAAGGGGATGAAAAAAGGGTTCGCACTTGAGAATTAGAATAACACAAAGAAGAAAAGCAATAACAAGAAATCAAAACTAGGGTTTGAAATCAAGATTTGGGGCAAGAAGATGATCTTGGTACAAGATTCTTCCAATTCTCTACATTTCACTTCAAAACTTGACGATGTACTTCAATATTATTATTTGTTTTTCTTCATACAGTATAAGTAGCTATTTTTTTTACTTTTTTTTTGTTAGGGTAAACAATGTAATTTATTAAAACTCTTTTAATTTATTTTTTTCAAAATTCTAATTCTCAAATTTATTTTATTTACAGCGTTTAATGCTTGAATTACTCGGTCAATAATTCAACGATCTTGTGAATTTATAATGAGTCGATGGGTGAGTTATAGGTTTATTAGTAAAATTCGAGAATTAATATAAAAGTGTAGATACATTTTCTAATTAATGCTATCGTTACATGAATTTTTAGAAATTTAAAGCGTTTAATTAAGGTGTATCCTGATTTACATAAAGATATGAAATTGACTTAGTTATATAAAATCAATTTGAACTTGAGCGAGGTAAATTGAGCGGTCCAGATGGTCATCAGTTTATAAACAGTTGGGTCGTTGTTCGTGTATAAATAGTGACAATTAATAAAATAGATATTTGAATCCGAATATCATTCCCACATAAACTAATATTTACTATCAGTTTTATATTGTAATTCCAGCTCCAATCTAAATTGATATGGTAAAAACTTTACAAACTGAGTGTTTATGTACTTAGAAATTTCGAGTTTACGTAGGTTATTTAATATTCAACTAATCCAAATTCATTCAACCCATTTTCATATGTATTAATGGTCGGAATAACCAATTTTACGTAGTAGTAGTCTCTCTCAAGAAAGTATATTTAACTACTACGTAATTGGTGGATTGGAACTCATAAAATCTTTATCCACCAATGAATTAATGTGCCAACTCATCGGTGCTTAGGATAAGATGAGCACCGGTGCTCATTAGATCATTTCTGTATATATATATATATATATCTTATTTTGTTGCTCTTGTTGAATT